GACAAGTATGCTTCAATTTGACTTCTTATGAGGTCTCATTTAAGTTTGGTAACCCCCGTTTATTTAAGGATACTCGCATTTGTCTTATTTAAACTACAATAAATGCCTATTTCTCTCAAGGATTCACCTGTCATGAAACCTAATGAAGCATTGCTATAAGTTATTGACTATACCATTCTTTCAGAATTTTACTTCAACATCCTAGCACATGACTCCACGACTTTGAACTTGTTCGTTGATGCTTGAATTTATTTAAGCTCGCCTTTATTGAAGTCCAAATTATATAAAAGTGTCTCGAAAAGCTATTATATGCTCGCATATGTCTCTAAAAGTTCGCAGTTATATTTCAAAATTAAATTCTTGAAGAATAAATTATTTTGATTCAATTTATCTTAAGCTCAATTATCTGTTAGATTTCATCATGCATGAGTTCGCATATGTATCTTGATTATATGTATTATATTAAAAAAAAAAAAAAGTTCGCTAAGGGTTGGAAGATCCCCGCGGCTTCGGCCCAAAAGGTATTTGAAAGTGTTGGAAGATCCCCGCGACTTCGGCCCAAAAGGTAGTTGAAAGTGTTTGATAAGGGTTGGAAGATCCCCGCGGCTTGGGCCCAAAATGTAGTTGAAAGTGTTTGATAAGGGTTGGAAGATCCCCGCGGCTTCGGCCCAAAAGGTAGTTGAAAGTGTTTAAAAGGGTTGGAAGATCCCCGCGGCTTCGGCCCAAAAGTAGTTGAAAGTGTTTGATAAGGGTTGGAAGATCCCCGCGGCTTCGGCCCAAAAAGTAGTTGAAAGTGTTTAAAAGGGTTGGAAGATCCCCGCGATTTCGGCCCAAAAGGTAGTTGAAAGTATTTGAGAAGGGTTGGAAGATTCCCTAGGCTTCGGCCCAAAGGTAGTTATGTTCGCCCGAAAAGTAAGTTATGAACGTTCACACAGTTGAGCTCATTACGCTCGTTTGAACAAAATATTGACCACTTATGCTTATGAAAATCAAACAAAAATAAAAACACTAATACTTCAATAATCGCGTGTTTAAAAAATAAACATAAAACGTCAAGGCTCCGCGAAAAGCGGAAACGGGTGACTTTAGCTAAAAGCAAGCGAAAAAAAAAATGGGATGTTCGATTTTTGACTTTTCATATTCTCAAGCGAACCACTTCAATAGTTTTACTAGAGAATAGGGGGGAGTAGATGATGGGGCCCATTTTGGCAAGCTTGGGTTGGGCCCATGGAAATAGGTCAGCGGAGGAAACACGAGCTGGGCCGGAGGAGTTTGTACGAATTTGTGGCCCAAATTAGGTATTAATTAACTCGTACGACAAGGCGCGAACTGCATGGGAAGACTCGAAGAAGAAGGAAAGGAGATATTTTATACAAGGAAAGGCGATAATATCGGATAAGAAAAGAAGGAAACGTGCAATTTAGAGATAAGTGGCTGATTATACGCCTCTATTAACTCACCTATATAAACAGATGTAAAAACCCTCATTAGGGTTACGTTTTTAATACATCAATAATATATTTCTTTACTTTTTCTCTACAAACTTTATTTTATTCTTTATACATCTAGCTACCGCTGTCCGATCCGGCCAGTGGTGGATTCTCCGGCAATGCTCAAAGTAGGAGTTCGTAGAAGGTCTTCAGGGTGATAAATTCGAGCACCATCAATATGTCTATGCAAATCAATTATGAATAAAACATTAAATTTCAAGTCTCCTAAACGTCTACCTAAGGAATTATATGTATGTCTACGATAATACATGCAATTAACACACTCATCTGGTAAAAACTACTCGAAGGTTCTTCTATCCCTGTTATAATTATTAAAACGAACTGTCAATCAATTCTAACAATAACACATAGCAACATAAACTAGCTACGTTCATGCACTAAATAAGATCAGATAGAAGAAATAATCATGGAATTAAACTTGCATAATAAGGAGAAAAATAGGTTCAAATCACCACATAGGGTTCTAATAAAATCCTAGATTAAAAACTTAGGTACTCATATTCTCTACGAAAAACATAATAAAAATATAAAAAGACATAGATTTAGAAAAGATAGATAAAAGAAGAATTATGATGAAGATTCGTCAAGTCTTCGTCTTCGATTCTCCGTTCTCTTGCTTCTCTTGCTCTCCGATTGTGTAAAAAGTTCCCCTGATTGTGTGCTTGAATTGGTCTTATATAGGGTGAGAAACTTGGAGAATAAGGTAGTTTCATTGTGCAACTAGGAGTCTTTCAGTGCGCCTTTACGTGATCTCGGACGGCTGTCTGGATTTTTAGTACAAATTCAAGACGACCGTCTCAAAAGTAGAGACCGCTTATGTTTCTCAGACGGCCGTCTGAGTTTTATGTGTATTTCTCAGACGGCCGTCCGGGCTATATTTCTTCAGATTTTTTACTTTTTTCACTTTTCTCCCATATTTTCTCCAAAATTGCAATTTTGACCCTTTATTTATCCAATTCATCAATTTGTACCTAAAATATAATAAATCAACATTTCAAGCACCAATTAACATTAAAACACACCAAAAGCTCCAATTAAAACGATATGAATAAGTGTAAAAATATACATTTAACACACCCCCAAACTTGAACTTTTGCTTGTCCTCGAGCAAAATCTACTCATAAACAAAAAAAAATAAAAAAAATCAACAATTACATTTCATTACATAGATTAACGATCAACTTTACGTTTTCAGAACTTGTAATTATAATGAAAAATTTTAGGCGTTCGCAAGCTTAAAATTCAAAAGCACTTAGTCACTTACCATTGCCAAAAACCACAAATCATGCAATTGCTTCAAGCATCCAATATTTTTAAATTAAAGATACAAAAAATTTATGCTTACATGTATATGTTTGACTCCAAGTACTCACCAAATTCCTCTACTCTACTAATACCGAATATTAAGCTGTTGGGATCATTGGGGCTTTTTTCTTTCAATTGTTAGGCTCTTTGGTTCAAGGTAGGAAATATAGGTATATGTGGCTATGCTTCTTGAATTGAGGTGATTATGCCAAAATTTGTAAGATGGGCGTTTGAAACAATGAATTCACCTCTAAGGACTTTTAATAAACTCGATTCTTAAGAGTTCAAAAGTCTCCACTTTTGCTCTTAAGACAATGGATTCAGCTTTCAAAAAAATAATTCAACAACTAGTCCTTTCATCCCCCTTCTAGTCTCTTTTTCTTCTCTCTTTCTCTCTCTCTCTCTCTCTCTCTCTCTCTCTCTCTCTCTCTTTTTTTTTTTAATTTCGAAGAGGAACAAGAAGGATCTTATAAAATTTTTGAACCGAACTCCATGGGGTAATTTTTCAAGAATATCCATTTATTCTACCTTATACACATTGGCTAAAAGAAAGAACACCTTTTCTCCGAGGCTCAAATCAAGATTCTAAGGATAATTTCGATAAAAAGGTCGGCTTGAAAGGCTCAAACGGTTCAAAGAAAGCTCAAATCATATCCCAAATTACTCACTACTCAATACTTCGTATAATAAATTTCCTAATGTGAGTTCTAAAACCGATTATAACATGATCTAACACAAATTAATTCCAAATTTAAAATGCAAAACATTCAACCACAACAATGCACAAAATGTGATTCCTAGCAATAATTCGTTTCTAAGTTCCGTTGAATCTAATGCTAAACAAACATGTAATCCTTATCACAATAAAACAAGCAATCTCATCATCAAACATTGATCATCTCTCATCATCATAACTCATCGATGCATTCGACTCAAATAAAGATATCAAAAAAAAAAAACCTAAGGCATGCAAATTAGAGCAATTAAGCACAAATAAAAATATTTCCACCCCCAAACTTAAAATTTTCGCTGCCCTCAACAAAAATTAAAACAAAGTTCAAGAATAGAAAACACCTGATTTGGTCGGAATCGTCGTTATCGGGGTGTAAGAATTGATGCGGATTTTTTTTTATAATTTATGTTCGGACGGTCGTCCCAGAATATGCACGTATTTTCGGACGGCCGTCTCAAAAGCAGAGACTTGAATTTCAAGTCTCTAGATTTTAGACGGCTGTCTGGGCTTTTGCTTGGCTTTTCGGATGGCCGTCTGGACCCTCTGACCATGTTTTCGACCCTGAAAATTAAAATTCAAATAGATTAATTGGAATGCATGCCCATGAAAATAAAAACAAAACATAAAATAAAAGAAAAATACGACCGAGAAGCGCTAAGTTTAAAGTCTTCAGCCAGACGTTGCTTCTTTATCTTTAAGCTGAAGCGACCGAAGTCACTTGACCATCTTTACTCGCTTCCAAATAAGGCTTGAGCCGGCTCCCTTTCACTTTGAATGTACGATTCGAATCTCGCTCATTTATCTTGACTACTTCGTGAGGGAGACTCTCTTGGACAATAAATGGTTCCGACCACTTTGAATTGCACTTTCTTGGGACTAACCAAAAATGGGATTTGCACAATAACACCAATTGTCCTTTGTGCAATTTCCCTTTGACTTTATTCATCTCTTGTGGCTTGTTTGGTTGTTTAGGTGGCAATATCCTCCTTGTACTTTCATCGTCGTTAACACCCCAACTCTTTTGACTATCTCTCGGAGGAGTTGAGATTGAGTCCAAAAAAATAAACTTGCTCCTTCAGACTCCCCTTTCCTCCATCATCTCCTGCACTCAAAGATTCTTTCCCATGGTTCCTGTCGAGAATACAGTATATTTGGTGAAGCAATCTCTTATTGATTCTTTTTTGTATTGAGCGTGAGAAAAATATTTTGTTTCCTTGTTTTATTTTAGTATTTTTCCTTAATATTAAAATTGTAATCAGTATATATACACTCCTTTTCGGAGAATAAGAAATACAATGAAATATATTCTGCATTACCGTGTTGACATGTATATTCTGCATTCCCGTGTTGACATGGTATCAGAGCGGTTCGATCTCTCATAAAACCAACGTTCAATATATTTTTCTGAATATACCTAGAAACATCAACCCCATATTTTTTTGTTCTTCTTATTTAATCTGAAAGAAGAATGACAAATTCAGATTCGATTGTTCCTACTAATATAACCAATCCAACGCAAAATATTGTTATCCAGCAAGACAATTCTGCGTTTCCCACCAGCGTAATATTAGATGAAACGAATTACGCCTTATGGTCTCAACTCATGGAGATGCGTATTGGCGCTCGAAATAAAGCCGGTTATCTAACCGGAGAAGCGAAAAAACCCGTCCATGGAGATCCTACTCTGGCTACATGGATTACTGAAAATCAAAGAGTGAAAAGTTGGCTAGTTGATTCGATGAGTCCATCGCTCATGCAGCGTTTCATTCTTCTTCCGACGGCAAAGGAGATATGGGAAGCTGTTTCAAAAACCTTTTATGATGGATCTGATGAAACTTGTCTTTTTGAACTCAACCAAAGATCATTCTCTACAACACAAGATGGTCGACCCCTTTCAGTATACTATAACGAACTCGTCTCCATCTTCCAGGAAATTGATCACAGGACCATCTCTCACGAAGAAACAATTGAAGGAGTGGTCCAGTTGCATTCCATGATGGCTTAGCTTCGAGTTCATATTTTTCTAAGTGGACTTGATTCTCAATTTGATCAAGTTCGTGGAGAAATTTTGCGAAAAGATCCGAAACTTGATTTGGAGAGCACATATGCATATGTTAGAAGAGAGTATCAACAAAGGCAGACAATGGGAAGTTCTCGACAAATCTTGGAAAGTTCAGCCATGTTAGCAAATCAAACTCAAAAAGGATCATCATCGGGCTCCTTTAAGAAACGAAAGGAACAATCTACAGGAAAAGCTAATAACTTCGTATGTGCTCACTGTGGTGAAACAGGGCACTCAAAACAACGATGTTACGAAGTAATTGGCTATCCTGAGTGGTGGGACATCACAAAGAAACCAAGGAAGAAGGTTGTTGGAAAAGCTATGACGACGTCTACAGAGGGTGAACAAGCGCAACCTACAGCAAATGTTGTTCACCCAGGTATTGTTGGTAAGTCCACTGCTTTCTCGACCACTTCTAAGAATAATACTTGGATAATTGATACAGGTGCATCCGATCATATGACTAGGGACCCTAATCAGTTGAAATACTTTCGTTCTTCTTGCAAATCAGTTATATCTACAGCTAATGGTACTACTTCTCCGATTATTGGAGAAGGATCTATTATGCTGTCTAGTACTCTCACATTAGATTCTGTTCTTGTTGTTCCATCCCTTGAATATAGTCTTTTATCTGTCAGTCAAATCACTTCGGCTCTTGCCTGCACTGTTACTTTTTGGCCCTCATTTTGTGTTTTTCAGGACATTCTAACTCGGAAGATTCTTGGTTATGGAGTTAAACGAGGAAAACTCTATTACTTGGAATTGACAGAAAAAATTGGACAGAAATGTGGACATGCATATCAGACTAGTAGCGAAGATAAAGCTCGAACAACTATTTGGTTATGGCACCGAAGATTAGGACACCTTTCTTTTGGATATCTTAAGAAATTATACCCAAATTTTTTTTCATATTTGAAAGATGTAGAATTTCAGTTTGATATTTGTGAACTGGCTAAGAGCCATCGTATTTCTTACTTACCAAGTTTTAATAAAAGTTCGGTGCCATTTATGGTTATACACTCTGATGTTTGGGGTCCAACAAGAATTACTTCTCTCTCTAAAGCTCGTTACTTTGTTACATTTATTGATGAATGCACTAGAATGACTTGGGTCTCGTTGCTTCGGAAAAAAAATGATGTTTTTTTAGCATTTAAGGAGTTTTATAACCTGGTGAAAACTCAATATCAAAAGCAAATTCGAGTTTTACAGTCTGACAATGGGTTGGAATACGTAGATGGGTCATTTGGAAATTTCTTGAGCGAACTTGGGATTCGCCATCAAACATCTTGCACCTATACCCCGCAACAAAATGGCTTGGCGGAAAGAAAAAATAGGCAATTAATGGAGGTAGTTCGTGCCTCCCTTTTCGGCATGAACATGCCTCGGTTCTACTGGGGAGAAGCTGTAAAATCTGCTGCATACCTAATTAATAGAACTCCTTCTCGGGTCATAGACTTTCAAACCCCCCAACAAAAGATGGAGTCCTTATTTTCAATTCCTCATCTCCCGAATCTTGAACCACGGGTCTTCGGCTGTACAGCATATGTCCATATCCCAAAAACATTACGAAATAAATTGGATCCATGCGCGAGGCGATGTGTTTTCGTTGGATATTCCGATTTTCAGAAAGGATATAGGTTTTATGACCCTCAAACTCAAAAATTACATGTGACATTAGAAGCTTCGTTTCGTGAATCAGAACCTTATTATTCAAATGAAACTTCTAGATCTTTTCATCAGGAAGAGGAACTGATATATGAAGGTGGCGAATTTTTAAAGTTAGAAAAGGTGAACGAGAAATTTGGGAATACTGTTGAGCATACTTTTGATAGTGCTGTTGAAACTGAGAATGAGGTATTAATTCCTTATGACAGTGAGATACAAGAACCACCACCAGAAGTCCTGGAGTTACCGAGTTTAACACCATTGGCCGAAGAATCAACCCAGGATGTCCAAAATGCTTCACCCGAGGTAATTTCAACTCCCTTTTCTAATGACGCTAATAGTTCAACCACGAGTATTCTTGAAAATGTTGCACTAAGACGGTCCGAAAGACCAAACAAAGGTATCTCAAAGAAACAATATGAACCCGATTCCAAAGCTCGTGCTAAATATCCTATTAGTAATTATGTCTCGAACCATAGGTTGTCTAAGTCGTATGCACTTACTATTAATGAATTATCCAATGTATCTATTCCTAGTAGTGTGCAGGAAGCTTTGGCAGATCCAAAATGGAAAAATGCAATGAATGAAGAGATGGATGCATTGCAAAAGAATTCTACCTGGGAGCTTGTTTCGTTACCGAATGGTAAAAAAACTATTGGTTGTAGATGGGTGTTCACAGTGAAACTCAAAGCGAATGGAAGAATCGATAGATATAAAGCGAGACTAGTAGCAAAGGGATATACACAAAAGTACGGGGTAGACTACCAAGAGACTTTTGCACCGGTAGCTAAACTCAATACAATTCGTATACTTATATCAATAGCAGCTAACAGAGGGTGGCCTCTACAACAGTTTGATGTTAAGAATGCATTCCTCAATGGGAAGTTAGAGGAAAAGGTCTATATGGATCTTCCACCAGGAGTAAATGGAGGTTCTAAATGTGAAAATTTTGTTTGTAGACTAAAAAAGGCTTTGTATGGGCTTAAACAATCACCAAGAGCTTGGTTCGGGAGGTTCTCTTCTGCAATGAAGGCATTTGGTTATAAACAAAGTAATTCCGACCACACTTTGTTTATAAAACATAAAAAGGAAAGGTAACTGCTTTAATTGTGTATGTTGATGATATGGTGTTGACTGGAGATGACTTGTGTGAAATGAAGTTACTACAAAGATATTTGGCAGCGGAGTTCGAGATGAAGGATCTTGGACAGCTGAAATATTTTCTAGGAATTGAAATTGCAAGATCAAAGAAAGGAATTTTTCTATCGCAGCGAAAATATGTGCTCGACCTTTTGTCTGAAACTGGAATGTTGGCGTGCAAACCAGTAGAAACACCGGTAGAAGTAATTCATATGCTCGAAATATCTCCTACGCAAGCTCCAACTGACATTGGTCGTTACCAAAGGCTAGTTGGGAAATTAATCTATCTAGCACATACAAGGCCGGACATAGCTTATGCTGTAAGCGTAGTTAGTCGTTTCATGCATGCTCCAAGTGAAGAACATATGAATGCAGTGTATCGAATATTGAGATACTTGAAAGGAACTCCAGGCAAAGGACTATTATTCTCGAAAAATAATCTTCCTACCATTGAAGGATTCACGGACTCTGATTGGGCAGGTGATCAGACAACACGAAAGTCTACGTCGGGTTATTTTACTTTTGTAGAAGGTAATCTTGTAACTTGGAAAAGTAAAAAGCAAAAGGTTGTCGCAAGGTCAAGTGCGGAAGCCGAATTTCGAGGTATGGCTCATGGTATATGTGAATTGTTATGGATCAAGAATGTTTTAAATGAGTTGGGGATCACATATACAACACCTATGAATCTTTACTGTGATAACAAAGCCGCTATTCAGATTGCGCAAAATCCTGTCCAACATGATCGCACTAAACATGTTGAAGTGGATCGTAACTTTATCAAAGAAAATATCGATAAAAAGGTTATTCAGACTCCTTTTGTCAAGTCTGAAGATCAACTCGCTGATATTCTCACAAAAGCGGTTTCGGTAAAGGCATTCAATGGTATCATTGACAAGTTGGGTATAACAGATATTCATACTCCACCTTGAGGGGGAGTGTCGAGAATACATTATATTTGGTGAAGCAATCTCTTATTGATTCTTTTTTGTATTGAGCGTGAGAAAGATATTTTGTTTCCTTGTTTTATTTTAGTATTTTTCCTTAATATTAAAATTGTAATCAGTATATATACACTCCTTTTTGGAGAATAAGAAATACAATGAAATATATTCTGCATTACCGTGTTGACAGTTCCAAGATCAAAACATCAAAATTTTCATGATTTGTAAAATCCATAAGATCAATAGTAAAACACTCATTATTATCACATGGATTTTTATTAGCACTAAAAACATTAAATTTGATCGTTTGATCATGCACCGTCATTGTACGTAAGATCACCACTAGCACAATCAATTAGAGTTTTCGACGTGGCTAAAAATGGTCTCCCTAAAATAAGAGGTATCTCCCAATCTTCATCTATATCAAGTATAACGAAATCAACATGGAAGATAAATTTGTTCACTTTTACTAGCACATTCTCTAAAATACCTTTTGGGTAAACTAAAGACCTTTCGGCTAATTGAAGAGTTATAGTCGTTGGTTCAATCTCACCTAACCCAAGATTTTCATAAGTGGAATAAGGCATAATATTAATGCTAGCGCCTAAATCAATGAGCGACCTAAAACTTTTACCTCCAATAGTACAAGGAATAGTGAACATACCTGGATCGCCGAGTTTTTGTGGATGGGGTCATGTAAGAATTGCACAGTATTGCTCGTGAGTTGGATCATCTCGTTTCCCTTGCAATTTCTTCCTCTTTGTCACGAGATCCTTGAGGAATTTCACCCACTTTGGCATCTTTTGAAGTGCTTTGATAAAATGGATATTTATATGAATTTCCTTCAACTTGTCCAAAAATCCTTGGTATTCGACATCGATCTTCTTCTTTAGAAACATTTGAGGGTATGGAATTGGAGGGGCTCGTGAAATCACTGTGGATGATAATGGTTCTTCGTGAGTTGCTTCTTTTTCCCCACTCTCTCTCGGCTTCTCGATCACCGTGTTTCTCTTCTCTTTTCGTGGGGCTTCCTCCAATTGTCTCCCATTCCTTAAACTTATAGCGTTGCACTACTCGATGTTGCTCTTTCAAGGATCTTTCGTATTCGACGGCAGTGCTCCCGACGGCCTCGTGCTTAGCTGGGTTGCAAATTGACCCATCTGTGCTTCCAAATTTGGGATGGAATCTTGAGTTTATGTCATGAATTGTGATA